TGAACGCATCACCTCTCCAGCACTGGAGCGCTCAAGCCGCACCACACCGGGGAATGCTGCGCAGAAAGCTCTCGAGATTGGAATGGCCAACTGCCGGTAAGGAATCATCTCTCCTGTCAGAGCCCGGTAATCTCCTGGAAGACGGGCCATGGCCAACACCATGCTTACTGCTCTGAAGAACAGCTCGCAGCATCTTTTTCACCAACTCCACATCACTCATCCTGCACTCAAACACAAAGACAATCAACTGAAGACACAATGACTACAGACAGCATTTTTGTAACCTAATGAGATGCCAATCTAGAAGAATTTTGAGCATCACAGGCGCATTCAGAGTCATACGAGTTAAAAATACTGTTCTAGGTGGGCATCTTTAGGTGAGACTAATATGCTTTTAAGGTTTATAGTTAGTTATGTCTGTGGTAATTAAGGAATGCTTTGAATCTGCATTACAATAGAGCGACCCATCAAAATCAAGCTGTATAACAGAACAATGGCAAACATTAAAATAAAAAGTTAGGGTTAAATTTATTAACCCCAAGAAACCGGTTTTATTTTTTTTAAGCAAAAAAAAAAAAAACCGTTAGTTGTTAATAAAAATTAAACTTTAATAAAAAAAATTAACGTTAAGTGTTGTGCACTCATTTTATTTTATTGTTAAAAAGGTAACGTTAACGTTATAAGTTACATGTTTTTTTCCCCACATTAAAAATACATATATTACACTTAGACTACATAAACGTATCACGTTTAAACAGTTTAAAAGATTGTCAGCTTATAAGTTACTCTTATAAACTTATTTGTCATCGATCCCTTAGACTGAAATCATTTCCATGTCAAAAGTAACGTCAAGTTAATGGTTTGTGGTTGTTTGAATGTCGTAACGTTATATTAAAATTACAAACATAAAATTTATATTTTAAAGACTAATAATTTTGGTAGTAGGTAACGTTATCAGCCAAGATAACCTTAAACTTGCGTAAACATTAGAATTAACTCAAATATCAAAAAAACAGGCGCGAAGAGAGGAAGCTAACTTTCATCCGACCGTAACGTTAATTGACTAACGTTAGCTAACTTTATTATTCCGTTTGTTTAAACTCGTAAAGAAACTTCTTATTCCCAAATCATAAAAATATCATCAAAAACATTATTAAGGGAAGAACTGTAAATTAAACTCACCTGATTGCTTTTTCTCTTCACACTAAATTAGCAGTTGAAAACCGCGAGCAGAGCACACACGCACGACACGTGCATTTGGGATCACTCCGGAATACGTCATACGTCATCTGAAAACGGCGTGAAGTCAAATTTAGAAAGCCAAAAATAATAAAAAATAAAATAATCCAGCTAAATACAAGTAGGTTATTTACTAATTCTATGATTTACTCAACAAATAAATAAATATGAATAACCCCAACATCCCTGACTAGAAGGGCCAGCCAGGCATCCTTTTAGGCCTAGGAAATATAAAGAGTAGACAATTATTCTACAGCATTTATTTACTCACTTATTAAAATGGTAAAATGGTAATCTTGCTCTGTAAAGGTGCTGAAGGCAAAAACTAAAGCTATATAAAAATAAATAAAATTGGGTGATGACAGTCATGTTGTCACACACCAGCATCTGACTAACTAAACAGGAATCAATGGAGAAAAAGCTTAAGCTTCAGAAAATATTATTAAAATAAGTGAGTTCTTATTATAGTAAATATTATAGTATATTCATGGGCGTAGACTTTCAAAACTTACCAGAAAGTAAAAGTATTTTATATAATTTATAGGCTTTTGTGACACCATTAAATTAACTCACCAAAAGAAATATTTCATATTTTTATTACAAACATACTGACCAA